CCAGATTGAAAGTAAATTAAGATCAAAGTGAAAAGATCATCATAATTTCTTAAACATTTTCATGGCTTCACCAATTCAAATAACCATTTCTCAAATCTCATGACAAGGAGAAAGACAGAGAAAACTACTCAGATCTCATGGGGAAAACACAACAAAACTCAGAATTCATATATAAAATCAAAGTCATACAAACTACAATAATAAATAAACTTATCTCTAATTTCTCCCTAAGAAAACTCCTCGAAGTTCCTCTGAATCTCTTTCTTTCTTTACAGCACACAAAATTCCTCTTCAAAGCAGTAAAGAGGAAGAAATCTCTCATCTTCCCTCCACTCTTACAATATCTCGAAGAAATCCTCACAATTTAGACTCTCTACACTTTTTCACACTTCAATTTGGAGCCTCTCCTTCGCTTGGACCTTTTTAACATCCAAGACCTCTCTAATTTTTTTCCAAAATCTTCTTTTAAAGTTGTGGATGAGTTTTCCCAGAAGTTGCCTATGCATCCCTTCAAATTTTTTCCCCCCCCGTATTTGGAAAAACCCGCCGAGCTCGCCGTCGGCGGCCTCGAGGACGCTGTCGACGGACCTTCTTAATGAATTAATTCTGGAGTCTCGGGAAAATCTCGCCGTCGGCGCCCTAGTTCAATTCTTCACATTTTTGGTCATTTTTGCTCCAAATTCGCTCTTTTTTGCATCTTTTTGCTCAAATGACCTTAATTCATCATTCCTGCAATAAAACATAAAAAATATCTTTCTTTAAAGTGTAATATCATCAAAAACAGTATAAAATAGGCATGAAAACTCAATATATAAAATAGGCATGAAAACACAAACGACTTTATGAGACCAATCTAATAAGCATAAGATCACTTAGATTTAATTTATTAAACTAATTCAATGCTTAAAAAAATTTTTATGATTAAAGGAATTGATAAAGATTGTTCAATAGAGCTTTTAATTTTTTTGGCTAAAATATTTAAAAATTTAATTCCACAACAAGACCATCATTTAGATATGAAAAAGGCATAACTTTAACTTTGATTTGGAGAGGCTCTAGTTATCCATTAATCTTGAAAATCACCATAATCACCCATTACTATACCCTATCACCATTACTTTTTTATTGTTACTCAATTATAGATGCTCGACTACCGCGACATGATCAGAGTCAATAGACTACCATCTTTTGATAGCTCAACAATGCAAAGTTCGTTATCACCAAGTATTAACAATAATGATATCAAACCAAAAAATTAAGCTACAAGAGTTTATTAAAAGTAACATCAATGTATATTGTCACTAATAAAATTGATGTACCTTATTGATCTAAAGGATGATACACATCATCACCGACAAGACAGATGCACACTATTGAGATCAATATTGATGTACATTGATGCCTCTAAAGCATATGCCTTTAATTAATACCAATCCCAATGCTCATTGTTGCTATTAAATTTGATGCATGCTATTTATTCCAACCTTGATGTACCCCATTCCTAATATGGATAATCCAACCATCAACATCAACACTAATATCAATATTCAGATGTCAACTTCAAGGCTTTTGATAGATTGCTTTACTTCTTGCCTTTCTACTTCTATGAAGAATAATCAAACATATCACCACTAATCTCTTGAATATAATTACAATATCTCAAGGGCATCATATGTAACTATATAATATACATTAGTATAATCACTTCAACAAGGTTAGATCTTCTGATTTTTTTTTTTTTCGTTTTCTATTTCAACAAGGTTAGATCTTCTGATTTTTTTTTTTTTTTCGTTCTCAACATATAATGTTATGACTATAAAGTCTCATATAGGGCTGTCAAAATGGCTCGTTGTTCGCGAACAGCTCGTGTTCGGTTCGTTAAGAAACTCGTGTTCGGCTCGTTAATTTCGTTCGATAAGTTAACGAGCCGAACACGAACTAGTGTTCGTTCGTGTTCGGCTCGTTTTGGCTCGAAATACTACTCATCAAGTTTATATATATATATAAAGTAATATTTTTAAAAAAATCTAATTGACTACAAGGCTATAAAGATTTATAATCAATTAAAATATTGATTAAGAAAATAGAATAAAAATTATTAAATTAGATTCAAATGATGTTTTAATATAAATAATAATTTTTAAATCTTGCTCAAACCCTTATTGTCTTATGACTACATGATTAGGGTTGTTAAAAAGACTTTTTGTTCGTGAACAGCTCGTGTTCGACTCGTTAAGCAAACGAGCCGAACACGAACACACTTTTTGAGCTCCCCTAGTCTCATGCTCGCTCGTGTTTGACTCGTTTATACCCCTAGTCTCATATTATAGCTAATGTTCAAGGAAGCTAAAAGGCCATTTAAAATTATAGCCATGCCTAAAGTTATTAAATAATCTAAATTCAATGTTTTTTCAAAAAATGTTGACAAGTTTCATATTTTAATATAATATATCCAAGCTATTTCAAGATAAAGTAAATTGTGTTTTATTTTTAATTTTTGAAAATTTAATCATAAACTTATATGTTAAAATTTGTCTACATTATTTTTTTTCTTCAGCTCTGTTTTTTTTTTTTTTTTAGTAATGATGATATCTTTGCGCTCATATGCTGAAATTTGCCGGTTGCCGAAAGGGCACTGGAGCTTAATCGTAGTATGCAGGAGCTGAAGGGAGACAATGGGGTCGTGGATGCCCTAGATAGGAATAACACGTTACCTCTACACTCCAAAATTTCATCCAGATGCTTCGTTTTTGGCTACTTCGATCCCCTTTACGCCTATGGTTTCTCGAAGGCGGACGGTCACCCCTACGCCTTCTTCACCATGAACCCAATTCCAAAACCCTAATCTCCATCTCCTCCTCATCGCCTGATTCGAACATCACCGAATCCTTTCTCAGAACCACTTGTGGCCTGTCCCATTCGGCAGCCCTCGTCGCCGCTGCAAAGACAAACTTGAAGTCTTCCGCAAACGCTGAATCCGTTCTCAGCCTCCTCAAAAACTACGGATTTACAAAATCCCAGATCGCTGACATCGCCACCAAGCATCCGGCTATATTCAACTACAACGCGGAGAAATGCATTAAGCCCAAGATCAATCTCTTCGCTGCCGCGGGTTTCAACGGAACTGCCCTCACCAACCTCATCTCCAAGTGCCCCTTTATCCTGAAGTCTAGCTTGGAGAAGAAGCTCAGCCCTAACCTTCATCTATTGATGAAAATTCATAGTGGCGACAGGCAAGCGGCCGCCTCTTCAATCGCCCGCTCCTCCTGGATCCTTCTTCTTGATCCCAATAGGCGTATTTTGCCCAATGTGGAGACGCTTAGAAAGCATGGCGTCAACGACGCCAACATAGCCAAACTCTTCATATGGTGCCCTAGAGCAATCACGCAGGAATGGCCGTTGCAGCAGATCGGCGGCTTTGGTCGAGGAGATGGGGTTGGAGCCCTCAAAATGCATGTTTGTTATCGCGATCAATGTGGTTTCTGGGCTAACCCTAGCGACCTGGGAGAGGAAGATGAATATTTACCGCAGCTTAGGCTGGTCGCAGGAGGAGATCATCTCTGCTTTCAAAAGGTCCCCTTTTTGCATGCTTATCTCTGAGGAGAAGATTAGGAAGGTTACCGCCTTCTTCATGAAGAATCTTAACTGGGGACCCTATCGCCTGTCGTCACTGCCCGGTGTCTTAACCCTTAGTTTCAAGAACAGGATTGTTCCCAGATTTGCTGTCTTCAATATTTTGACCACAAGAGGACTTGCGAAGACAAAATTAAGCTTCTCAACTATCTTGTTCATGGGTGAGAATAAGTTTCTGAAGAAGTTCGTTTATAAGTACGGTGATGAAGTTCCAGAGCTGCTGGAGGCTTACAAGGCTAAGTAAAAGTAAGATGGATCTATGAATATGCATCAGGGATCCATTGGCTTTGCAGTTAAGAAAGAATCAGAGAAATTTTATTCATTCTCAAAGTATTATCTCGACCTGCTTCCTGCTCGGTTATGAAGGTTTATCAGTTATCCATCAAGATATCTACATTATGAGTTATCTAGTCCTGAGCAATTCCAACGTTAGCAGAGGTTGGGTAAACTCGTACTTAATAAAACTGCTGCGTGGTTACTTTGCTTAATTTTTGTTATTGTCTCAAAACCTTTTGACTTCTAGCCAAAGGAATAGACGATTAGCAATTTGCACAGTCTCTTCTTTTTGATTATGCTATTAATGCTTGAACTAATTGTCAAAAGGCAACTATGTTACAAATAATGTTATTTAAGAATAAACAAGGCATTACAGATCAATCTCATTATGATTATGCTTGTTAATTAGATCAGTAATACTTGATAGAGATCATAATAACATTTTACTTATTTCATATATATTTACCCATGATTAGATAATTGTTCTTGCTTTTTTACATTTGTTTGCACTAAGCTGTAATAGTTAAGTTAATGATATGTCAAATTGATATGGGGATTAAATAGTCGTCAAATAATTATATTTATGTTTTGAAGACTAATTAATTGGTTTACAGCTAGTTGATTAGTAATCCTTAAGAAATAGATATTAACTGATTATGATTTTATTAGTGCTTAATAAATTAAATTATTGTTTTTTTTTCATTTTAATTATTAATTTGATGTAGATTTTTGTCAACTCTTCAAATCAGTGTGGGTGTGGCTCAAACCTATTGGGCTAAGGAGTAAGATAGTACACTCTGCAATTGTAACCTATTTGATTTGATTTAGAGTTTACTTTGTTGCAAAAATTAGAAATGCAAAATAAAAGAAATGCAATGCATACTAAATTCACAATGCTATGTTTTCAGTGTATTCTAAAGTCGCCTTTGTCACTGCTTGGCTTTAAGTATTATTTTTTAAGTGTAATATAGAAGGAATGTGATTGGTGTTGGGTTGGAACTATATTAAATGTATGATGTTTTTCTGCAGGAGTTTTGGAATACCCTAGAATTTTTTTTTTTCTCCATAATTGGTATTCACATAAATTGGGTGAATTCTAAAAATAAGGAGAACTCATAACATGTGAGCTAACCTTCCCTACCAATTGTTGTTGCCATTCGTCGGCCTCACCAAGCACCATTTGCAAGGCTACCATCACTGTCATTTGATGATGTTCTGAACCACTAATTTATTTGGGAAAAATTGAGTGAATTTAATTGCAAATACACGCATATCACTTATGCAAGTGTTTGAACCCAAGACCTCTTAGGTGAAAGATTATGCTCTCAACCAACATCTTAATGTCATTTGCACTAATATTTAACATTTATTACCGTCCGGTGGCTGTTTGTTATTGCCCACAACTTTTCACCACCACCGTCCACGATTGTCCCCACTACCAATTGTTTTTGTCTCTTCCGAGACATCCGATAAAATTGGAACAATACAAAGAAGATTAGCATGACCCTGCGCAAGGATGGCACACATAAATTGAAAAATGGTCCAAATTTTACTAAATAGGATGCAATGGAGAAAAAGAATTCATGCGGACGACCCCACGTAGTGGTATTAAGTCTTTGCTGTTGTTGTTGTAGATGCTGGCCTTATGCTACCATTTGTTGCCTACTATCATTTGCTCGTGCTCTAATATTGCCACTTGCATCATTGCTCAATCTCCACCCACCATCATATTTTAAAACATCTTAGAAGTGTATCATAAAGTTTAGGGAAATTTATTTCAATACCACAATATTTTTTTGTATGTACTTATCTAGCATAAAAAAATTGATATTTACACTTATAATACCTCAGGGTCATTAAATTATGTATGAAAAGAAGTATTTCAGTTTTTAGAAAGGGAGTGATGTTGTGATGGTGGTATTTTTGTTCAGGTATTAATGATGAGTGAGTTGCATGCAAATTTGAATGTTTTGATTTTTGATATATAAAGACATAAGAATTGTGACATCTACGGAAATGCCCAAAAATATATTGGTAACTTTAAATACGCGGCTCACAATTCTTATGCATTCTGATGTCTCACGCCTAAATTTTCATATTTAGACACACAACACTGATAAAAGTTTTATTTTTTATGTGATTTTACAAATTTTAGTGCAATAATTACATAAGAAACTATAGAACGTAAATGCCCCAAATTTATATTTCAATACATTTGAGAGGGCAGGGTGATGACTCTAAATGCTTTTAGATCTTTTCCATAGATTGGCATTTAGCTATGGGTTTGCTGGTACAGTTGAAGAAGGTGAAGATTTGGTTGAATGACATCAGCGGGAAGGAAGAATTGCAAGTGCTAGTTGAGCAAAGTGGACTTGGTCGCATTCATGCTTTTGGCGGTGGCATCGTCGAAGTATGTAATAGACGACAAATTAGGAGATGATATTCGAAGATCGATCATGATTAATGGTTTAATCTTGCCATTTCATGCTTGTTTATCGATTATACATGAATATAGCTAAGGTTGACACAAGTTAATGGTAGGTTATAAAGTTGGTTACAAAATTAAGGAAGATAAAAATAAATCAAGATATAATATATTTCCTTTTTTTTTTCAGAATTTGTGTATAATACAATGTCTAATTGTACTGAAAAAGTATTTTTAACCACTCCTGTTTAAAATTCTGCATAACGTTAATACCGTTGCGGGGAAGCTTGAAGTTAATGGCACACCCAACTAACCCAAGAGGAGGGCATGATTAAAATTAAGTGTTTGAAAAAAAAAAACAAGAAAAATAAAATTTAGCATTTTTTTAATCAAAAATCAAAAGGGGAAAATTGGTCATGTAAAAAATATTCTAAAATAAAGATACAATTGGCTGTCATTTTCGTCTGTTCTTTATAATTAGTTATCACAAGATATAGTTTAATAATCAATAGTGACCCGAGCCCCTATCCATTTATCATCTAGCAAATACAAAACTGAGATCATAACATTCTTTATCATATAACAAAGTGACTAAAGAAAGCAAAAAAGGAATCACGAAAAGATAATAGCAAAGAAATAAATTAGTTTGATGTGATTCAACACCATTTCCTACGTCCACATCTTATGTCATATGCTTGAGAGGTATACTTTTCTCATTTTTTCTAGACAGTGGGGGGTAAAATGTATCTAAATGGGTAATTGAGAAATTCTACACTTTCTTTTACTTTAAAAAAAGGAAGATCACTATTTTTGACCATCAATTAAGGATATTGCACATTAAAAATGTGTCAATACTGATCTTGAGATAAGCTAACGATATAAAGGAAAAAAGTGCGATGAGGGAGGGCCTACGAACAGAAGAATGTGAGATCCACTTATCTGATGGAGTACAATTGTTCGAGCTAAAGACAATTAAGCCATAAAGGATGACTGGGTGATCAAAATCTGAATTGTTCGGCCAAAATTGAGATAAAAAGCCATTCGAGTTAATTACCATGAAAACGTTGACGTGAGGGAAGACCCAGTCCCTCAACATCTCCCAATCATATCAAGGACGCCCGGAGGCTTCCCATAAGAAGTCAAGGATCAACAACTGGTCCATATAAATCGACTTAAGCATATTGACCAAGCATAGCTGCTCAGCTGACTTATTTGATCATGTCGACCCGAAGATAATCAAGATCAGCTGAATGAACTAGAGAATTTATGTAAAATATCAAGAATATTATGTACAACTCTCTTTATAGCGTGGGCAAAATGTATCATCGGCATATTATACTATCCTTAATAAATCGGAAGATCATTTTATGAATAAGACACAATAGGCACAATGTTTTACTATTCATTACTATTCACTCCTCTCTCTTTCTCTCTCTCTTCCTCCCTCCCTCCTTCCCTCCGGACTTGCTCTCTTTTCCTTCCTCATTAGTTACAGAGAAATCATGATTCAACATCCTAAAAATTATAGTGGGCGTGATACATGCCACAGACAAGAGAGGAGTAAACCACTGAGAAGAAACCTACAACAAAGAAGCTGACAACATGGAGTACACCTGAGAGTTTGTGAACCAACAGATTCAGGAGTTGAAGGATCGAATGCTGGATGTCATCTTAGACGCACTGGCCTGGTGAGGAGAGCATCACCCCTAGAGGAAGGGCCGATGCCTAACAGTTGAAGAATCCACCAGGCATTGGAAAGAGAAAGTGACTCCCAATACTTCGATAGTGCTGGGTCGGTGTCGATCGACCAACATTTGTTTAAGAGTGCTGAAATGCTTCGACAGTCCGATAATGCACTTTCTAGGCAAATCTATGAAGCTGAGCCCTAAGAGGTGTTAAAAAACCCGGCGCTAGATTCCTACTAGGGCATACACGACATGACCGACCACATACCCTCATTTGAGTCAACTATGTGTTTGTTGAGGACGCTCTTCTTTACCGATTTAAGGGAGTCAACCTTCAAGTAGTTCAGTTGACCTCTTTTTTGGAGAGGTCGGGTCCTTTCTCTATAGCCTAGGATCTAGCCATATGACTTTCATACTGACTCTCCTAGAAGATTAGTGATGAGAACCACCCCACTTAGAAATTTGAACCGCTTCTTCACTCCCCTTAAATCTCATATGTGTGATTACAAATCTTCAACATCTAGCCTAGTCGATTGGAACCAATATGCTGAAAGTTAAGACGAGTTCCTATAAGGATTGAGAGTGCCCTAGAACGATCTTTTTGACTTAGGAGCTTTCATTCTTCGACACACTATAATTTACATAATACACACATAAACACTATAATCCACACATAATTCACCATCTAAAATCAAAATCAAATTTAAAAATGAAATGAAAACACTCATAATACGAATTCGAGACCCTTCGGCATGGGTTGGTCGACTTGCTGCCGAGGCTATTTTGCTTGACTTTGGTCTTCGCTTAGGCGAGGACCGATCGGCATTTCACATAGCAGACGACTCCGATCGACTTGACGAATCGCGTTCGCCGCGTTACGCGTGGGTCGAACTCAAATTGACCCGATCGCTGATGAACTTGTCCAGACAACCGTTTCGGAACATCAAATTTACCTAGGGAGGAAACCATTTTGCTATGATTCCGTGCACGAGCTAACATACTGTCGGCGTTTAAAAAGTAATAATAATAATAATAATAATAATAATAATAAACTCTTTTTAACTCCCTATTTAAGCCTCATGACAACTGTTTCCTCCCACTCGGATGCCCTAGCCGAAACCCACTCCTCAGAATGGCTATCTCCTCCCATTCGCATGCTCTAACGGCTCTCACTCATTTTATGCGGCCGAAACCTCGTGAACACTAGCCATTATCTTTGGCACTCCTACTTCTTCCTTGGTCCGCCGATCCAC